TTGTCTCCTTCTATTCTGTTTCTTCTCTATAACCTAATCTCAAATATATTTGTCTCCTTCTATTCTGTTGTTGGAAATAAGGATTGTATAATGACTCTAAATTTTAAATTAAATCAAATTTTTCTTCTAATGAATATTTTATTTAAATAAGTTTTATAGCAAATAAAAAGTGATAGTTTAGTAAAATTTATACTAGTAAATATTTTTGAAGAACAAGAGTTCGAATTCTATCAAACAAATTTTTGATTTTATTTTTTTTAAATTATAAGAAAATTTGTGCCCTTTTCTGTAATTTTCTTGTGCTCTCTCTTATAATTTTCCCAGTGCCCTTTGTTGTAGTTTTCCCAGTTTCCTAATGTTAAAATATTTCTTCTTTCTCCTCTGCTATTCGAGCTCCAGAACCAGAGAGTCAGAGAGATCTTTCGTTCATTCTCTGCTCGTCTCCTCCTCGCCGTCGTTCTTCATTTCTCCCCTCACCGCCGGCGGCTTGTCATCCTCTCTTCTCTTCTGTCGTACGTCCGCCGCTGAGGTGAGTCTGTTCCTTTTTCTCTTCCTTTGTTCGCTATTTTAGTGGAGCTGTTGGTTGAGGCTCTTCGTTTGTCACCCTTCCCCCTCTGCACTCGCTGTAGCTTGCTTGTTTCTCCTCCGTTGAGGATCTGCCGTGAAACGGCACAGCTTCTCGTTTCCCCTATTTCTGGTTGCCGTCGATTTCTGCTCAGTGTTGGTGAAGTGTGCTTGGTGTTTGTCTCTCCTTCCCCCTTAGCTGCTCTAAGTGGCACGCTTGTGTATGGTAAGTGTGATTTTCTCTTTTGCTGTCAACGAATTTTGATCTCGTCCGAGTGACGGCTGTCATAACTATTGGAGATGGTGACTGAAATTTCTCTTAAGCATTCCAGCTGGGTTTCGTTGAAGAATAAAGGAAATTGAATTTTTGTTGTTGTGTAAATTAGTGAAGGAGGTAGTTTGTTGAATGTGTGTGTGTGTGTGTGTGTGTGTGTGTTAGAATTTCCAGTTGAAATTTATAAATTTGGTTTCTGCCAAGTGTAATATAAATTATGGATTTAATTTGAGATATACTTAAGTAGTGTATGGAAGTTTGATTTTTGGAATTAAATGGTGAGGATAAGAAGTTGGATAGATGGAAATTAGTTATGTGATGAGCAAATAGGAAGGCTTTCAAGAGGTTTGATTAAATGCTTAAAGGAAGGGTAAGATTAATTAATTAATATGGTTAAATTTGAGTTTATTGACAGGAAAGGAGAAATTTATATTTTAGGTTAAAATTTTATATTGTTGATGAGAAAGTTCTAACAAATTATATTTGAACATAATGGTGTGGTGATTAGTTTTAAATTAAAATCCTCATTCCTAGATTTGATTTGAAAATTACTTAATAAATGATTTTAGGATTATGATTTATTTGTCAAAAAATTAAGGTAATAATTAGAATTAAAGTGAAAAATTAAAAGAAGCAAGCTTTAGAATTCTTAAGAATCTCTTAGGTGCGTGAATGAGTCCCAATTATCATAAAACACCTTTATTTAATATTGTGTTTAAATCTTTGCTAGTATTTTCTTTACGATTTATAGAGTTTTCTCTATTTATCTTATTTTTATTCAATTGAGATATTACTGAAATTATTCTATTTTATCAAGAAGTTATGTGATTGAATCTAATATGCATTAAATTGACTATTTGTTCAAAATGATCTAATTTTTTAAATTTTATATTTGATTTGAAATATGTTTTTGCAATTATTTCTATATGGAAATAAATTGTGTTGAAAGGGGAAGTTGATAGTTGAATCTTGTATTTTGAAAAGAATGATTTTAAAATGAATATTTAGATCCATGCATGTTTGATTTTTGACTAGGGGGATTGAGTTTAGAACGCTGGATGCTAATAGCAGTTCAGTTGATTCTTGACATGCCATGGTACATATAGTTATTAGGGTGTTTGTAGGAGGTACTAGCCCTGTGCGCAGGCCAACGCACGTGGAATGGAGGGATGAATATTCATAAGCATTGTACTCATGCTTGTTTCATGGCTTTAAGCCATGCTTATTGATAATTTACCCTCGTGGACTGTGTGTCCATGTTTGTTGGTTATGTACTCTTATGGATTGTATATCCATGCTTGTTAATCATTCCAATTAAGTCCCACTAAAGAAGGAACTGTGAAACTTATCTTCTTTAAATTTAATCTCAAAAAGGAAATTGCTATTTTTACTATATATAAATTTTATATTGAATGATAAATATATATATATCCCAAGAAGTTTAAGTATGTGTAGAAATTTATAAAAAAAATAGTAAAAGGAAAGGAAATTTGAACTTCTAATAACTTTTATTTGGATTTATATATTCATGGTTTATGCATTTACCTAGTTATTGATATTGATATTTAGGATTTGTGTGTTTATATTAATATTTTCTATTGATTATTTTAGTAAATTTATAATTGATTCATTAATTTGCATTTCATTATTTCCTTCAATTATAAATTGGGATGTTACTCACTGAAAAAATTTATTTAGTCTTAGATATTGTAACTGATCTTATACCTTTGGTTGAACATTGAAGGGCTCTATTGTTTTTTGAAACAGTGGAAGCAAGTGTTAGTTACTTTCGGTGTAAATATATTTTGTATTATGAAATTTTAGTTTAACTCTCCATGTACACCGTAGTTAGATCATAGTTTTATTTTGCTGGTATATAATTTATTAGTGTGGAGTTAAGCTCCTTGCTGAATTGGCTGATAAGTTTTTTTGTTGTAGAAGTTTTAGGAGGTCCAAATTAGTGGGGAGACTCCATTGAAATTTCTACAAAATATTTAATATTTTTCAAGCCTTATAATTATATATAATTATCAATATTTAATTTAGTTTAATTTCATATAATTAAGGCTTATCGTATGTGAGTTTATCTTATATTTTATGCCAATCATGCTCTTAGTATAGAGGTGTGATTAGTTCTAAGCCTGTTTAGATAAAGGTTCAGGCTTGAAAAATGGAAATTTTTTTAAGGTAATCAGGCTTCTAGGCAGACATCCATACCCTGTTATATTTTTTTTGTTTTTCAATCTATGTAAAAATGGTGCGTAGAGAAAAAACCTAAGACTTAATCTTCTTTAATTTTTGATCTCTTGACTCTTATTCTTTTAGCTAGAAGATTGATGCACTCATTTGCTCTCCCATTAGCCATTACTCATCTTTGCTTCACTTGGCATCTTTGCTCTCCCTTTATCCATCAGTCATCTCTGCCTCATCGCTAATCTCTACCTCACTCAGAGTCATGTAGCTCTCCCTCTCACATCTACTTGCCCTATCGCCCCTCAAGTTCATTATATTTGCTCTCCCTTTTGCCCCTCACGCCCCTCATGATCTGCTTTCCACTCGCAGCTATTGTCTTGCTGTGGGTGTTAGGTGGTCAATACTTTGATCTTTGTTCATCTTAGATGGGTACTCTGATTCTCACAGGTTTAACCAGATTAATTAATTTTTTTGACCAACCAGAGTAATTACCTTGATTTATTTTATGTTTAATTTTAAAATATTTTAATTAAATTATAATATTATTTTTTATTTTTTGTAATCAGGCTTATGAACTCAGCATTGAACCCTTTTTATAAGAGCCAGCCCTTAGGATTTGAAGGAATTTTGAAAAATCAAGCTTTAAGGTCTAAGCCCTCAAGGACCAAGGCCATAAGGGTTGGGCTGGCCCATTTCCCAATTAAACTAATTACCATTATTTGTGGACTAACCTTCTCTTATGTGGTTCGTAGCCTTGAGACTAAATTATTTGAATACTTTTTGAAATTTACAAAAATGTACCTTTTATATGAATAAAAAATATTCTATGTACTGTATTAAACTTAATTTTGGGTGTCCTATCCTGTTCCAGGGTTAGGTAATTAGTTCACACTACAGTCATTCAATTTAATGAATGAATGAATTTTTAACTTGAAATAACTGTAATTAAATATGTCCACGTGTAAATTTGAGGATACAAGATTACTAATTAATTTATAACGGGATCAAGTACCACTAAGTTTAATTATTAAGATATTTATCATGCAGTAATAAATATCCACTACATGAATATGTTCCTAAGAAAAGGAATTTGTCCATTTTTCGGGGTCTCAAGGGAGATTGGAGACACATAAGAACTCTTGAATTGAAATGGAAAAATAGATGTAATTGCAGTTACTTAGGAAATGTTTAGATATTTGTCACAAGAAGAGTGTTTGATCTGTATCATCTTGAATCAGTTCTGATTCCTTTATTTTTTAAGAATACTGAGTTAGGTTGGTCTCCTAGCTACCCTTATTAATAAGACATATTGAGTTTAAATGCGATGTAATTACATAATCATGTACACATGTAAACAATATGCTTGTGATTAGTGATAGGATCATGTCTAAGTCAATTGGCTATAAATAGGGGAAACGAAGAACTGGTCCGCCATGTTAGATTTATCTATATTCATTATAGTAAAACCGAAGTCTTCAAAGTTCATTATTGTATGTCCTTTATGGAGATGACTTTTGTGATCACATTGTAATGATGGTGCTGATTTATTTATGTATTTTTATAACAAGGGATAACAATAATCTAAATAATGGTACTAATGTCACTTACCAAGATTACATCTAAGCCAGGCGGAGGGGAATAAAAAGGATGAAATCCAACAATACAAGAAAGAGCCTTCTTAGCAAGCATGTTAGCAGCTTCATTTGCATCTCTCGAAATATTCCAACTATGCACCACCCATTCCCAAGCTAGAAGTGCTCGAATTTCAGCAATAAGTCCAGCATTGGGGTGATCATAGGGTTTATTACTATGTATTGCATCAATTACTTCCAAAGAGTGAGACTCCAAGATAATCTTCCTATAGCCAAGATCCTAAGCCTACTTAAGGCCCCATATACAGGCCCACAATTCAGCATAAAGCGGATCTCTATCATTCATGTTGTAAAGAAAGCATGCTCTGAACGCTCTCATGGAACCTCGAAATAATCCTCCACACCCAGAGATGTTGTGTAAGTGGAAGAAAGCATGGTGCTGATTTATTCTTTTGATTTTGGGAAAATTACTCCGAATTAAGTTTCAAAGTTCATCATTATTCTATGTCCTTTTGATTTTGAAGATATGAATATATTTTCGTTTGAACAAAATTCAAAGTATGTTAAAATACATTTTAGAACAATAAAAAGAAAATTTCAATAAGTGAAGAAGTTTATACTCTATTTAACATCTTTTATGAGGTATATGTGTGTGGGTAGATATATATAGATATAACAAAGTGATTTGAACAAAGAAACATAAATTTCATGTAGGAAAACGAAACAGACAAGGACCGGTGAAAAAGAAAACTGCATTAATACATGTGATCGCTGTTATTATTTTTGGTCATGTTTTCTCTCTGCCAATAAAGTGTCATGAGTTAATCAATTAATATTTTGGACTACGTTCAAGATTCACTAGAGTGATCCAAGTTTGTGCACCTTGCTATATGGACACACTCCAACGCACACCAAGAAAAAATAGGAAGACATTCATTAAAGTTTTGAACTTTCTCTGGCCATTATTTCCCACCAAGTGGAACTTTAGAAGTCACATGCAAACTCGAGAGCCTCATTAATTTCCTATGATCAGTCCCCACGAAATTCCAAAAGTAGAAAAACGAGGACCTATTCATTTTAAAGTTTTGTGAAGAATATTTGTCAGAAAAGGGAAGGTTTGGAAAGAAAATTATGCGGCCAGAAGAAAAGAGAATTTACCGAAAGAAAGCACATGGTCGCATTTGATTTACACCAACAGAAATGTTCCTAACATGGTAACCTGCCTCCTGGCCGAACACAGGTAAAGGAAAAGATTAAAAGGAGCAAATTACTAATACTCTCATACATGTCTTTGGTGCTGGTCATGATGAGATGGGGAATATTCAGATTAAAATTAAGATAGTCCCTCAATTAAAAAAATATAAAATATTTTTAATCAAATCTCACCCTTAATAAAGTTATTACTTGTCTTCAAATTAACCCTATCTTTTCATATTTACCCCTATTTAATAGAGTGTTTCACCTTAAAATAAAGATAAAGTAATTTATTCAATAGGGAGACTTTTGAAAAAAAAAGACAATGATTACTCTTTGAAAGATTAAAAATGCCTTACATTTTTAACATATAAGCCCTAAAAAAAAACTTTATATTTTTTAATAGAGGGAGTAGTCTATATTTAAAACTTTTTTATTTGCATTTTTATTTTATAATTCATAAAATAATTTTTTTAATAAAATAAAATAAAATTCATAAATTTTAAAATAAAGAGTTTATAATAAATTAGGATAGTATAGATTTAATCTGGATAATCAAATTCAATATTAAAATTTATAATTTTTATAAACTAACTATTCAAATGTATTATGAAAAGTCTAGATTTAATATTCAATTTTTAAAAAAATTTATAAAGTTTTTTTTAATAAGTTTAGTATTAAAAATAAAGAAAATATCTTAATTGATATTTTTTAAAAAAATATTTTTATAAAAAACTGTAAGTTAAAATTTTAAATTTTAACTATCTAGTATAAATATGGATAGTGAATTTATTAAAGAAGAAAAAATTTAATGTTGAATTTTGATAATTTAAATTAGATCTAAAATATTCAGTTGATAATAAAAAATTATTAAATTTTTTTATTATCATTATTTTAATATGTAAAAAAAAAATAAAAATTTTAAATTTTAAATACAGACTATCCAGGTAATTTTTTTTATTATGTTCTATGCCTGACTTCACAAGTATGTGATTTATCTTGATCAAAAATTAATTTATGGCTGTGATGGTGTATGGGAAGATTGTGTTAATGAGAAGATTAGTGATGTTAAATAACTCCACAATTGAATTGACATGCAGTGTTTGGCAAGTGACAGAGAAGAGTTCAGAACTCTTGTCCTTCTAATTTTCCCTCTTCGCGTGACATGCCTTGTACACATGCGTGCAGATATTTGTTTTAAAGATTAATACTGATTTTCGCATTTAAATTATTTTTCATCTAATCAATTATGTCACTTAACAGCCTAACAAAATTATGATTCTTTATCACTGGAAATTAATGGCCAATAATTATAATATGACCTAATTTTCTAATTCCATCCTTGATTTTCCAAGTAAAAATTGGTGAAATAACATTTAAGTCCCAAAAAATTTGTTTTAGCTTAGTTTATGAAGAAATCACTTATCTTTTGAAAATAAATTATTTTTTGAATTTTTATTATATTTTTTTAAATTTCTGAAAATAATCAGAATAAAAAAAAGAAGATTTCTGATTATTTTAGAAAGCTACTTTGAGTAAATTTTGAAAATAATTTAATGTAGTAGGTGAGAGAGAGTATTTTAAAGATGTGGGATATACGAACATATCATAAAATTTTAGAATAATATAATAATAAGCTATTTTTAAAAAATAAAAATTAAGAAAAATATCATAAATTTAAAATAGCTAACTAATAATTATTTTTTTATTATTGTAACCAAACATAAATAATTTCTGCTTTTCATATATAAAATCTCTACAAAATAAATCTCTTTTTATAAAAAGTCTAAACTACTTAGAAATTACTTATTTTTTAATATTAAACAAACATGCCCTTAGAAAATTATAGGTTGAGCGTTACATTTATAATTTAAATTGATTTTTACAATTAAGACTTATTAATTTACCTTTTTAAATCTACATCTACAAATCAGTTTTTTCAAAAATCAATAATATAATTTTCATTAATTTATTCTTTTAACCTAATTGTGATTCTTTCTATGAAATTTTGAAGCCATAATCTACTTTTATACTATCAATAGAAATTGGATTGAATAAAATGGATCAGTCCTTCAAGACATGGTGAACCAAAATTTAAATTTTTATGAGAAAAAGTATTAGTGCTTTGTGTTTAGAACATAATAGTTTTCAACAAAAAAGTTGATTAATAATAAAAAAATCTAGTTTTATTATATGTGAATATAATGGGTTTGGAGAGGATTGAAGGAGATCCCATCCTAGCCAGCAACGAAATGTAAGATAAGGATATCACATGGCTGCCGCATGCCTGTATTATTTAGCCATCAACTTTTTCAAGTAAAAACAAAAAACCATAAAAAAAAAAAGCCTCTCTCTTTTCTTTGTAATTAATAATATATTTTTTTACACAAAATACCAAAAGTAGAAAAACGAAGACCTCTCTGGCCCAAAAAACAAAAAACAAGAAAGAAAAAGGAAGGCTCTTCGTTTAAAGTTTGGGTGAGAATGTTCTGTCAAGAAAAGGGAAAGTTTTTTTTGGCCAAGTAAACAACTAGTGGACAAAAACATAGAAGTTTTATTGCCAAATCTAAAAAAATGAAAAAAATAACATTTATGTATTTATCCGAATTGTTAATTTTTTTGTTTCAGTTTTTAAAATAAACTTCAATTTTTTTACTTTAAAATTATTTTTTATTTTTAGAATAAACGTAATACTATTAAACAAAAAGATTACCGAATAGACACATGAAAGAGGTGATTTTTACCCCATCCTGCTCCTCTCTAAGCCAAAAAGTAGGATGCAGTTAAAGACACATATTTGTGTGGCGTGTAATAGGTGTAACTTCCAGGAAGTTGCAGAGGCAATGAAATCAGACGCTATGAGAGATCTGTCATTTCTAGAGACAGGAATTAAGGCAGGCTAGGTCCTCATGAATTCGGCCTTTTAAGAGCTCAAGTTTTAAAACTTATTTATCTAAAATTTAATTAAATTTTAAGACTCGATCTTTATTTATGAGGCTCAGGATTTGGTTCTTAAGTCCTCTTTCTTCAAAAAAATAATATTTTAATTTAAATAAAATATTTTAAAATTCAACATAAAATAAATTAAAATCTCAAATAAATTTTAACATAAAATTAGTTAAAGATTTAAAATTTAAATTTAAAATAAAAATTAAAATCTTTATTAATGTAAATCTAAATTCTCCTCATCATTATCTAAATATAAAATATTAGATCCTCAAATATAGGTCTAGTTGTTGAAGATGGAAGTGGAGATTTAATATCAATTATCTTTGCAACTTCTTACAATAAATATTAATCAAATTATATCATTATTAGTCAAATATATGTATGCATGTGTGTGTGTATAAGATAATTTAACTTATCAGGATTTGAAGGGCTGCCCAGACTCGAGCCCTTTTTCATAGAATTTATTAAGGCCAGGCCCTTAAAGCCAATTATTTTAAAAAGAATTAATTTCTAAAACCTGAATTTTTATTTAAATTAGATCTCCAAACTTAATTTTTAAAGCTTAATTTTTATTTTCGACACTAGTCATTTTCCATTATGTGAAACATGGTTTCATAGAGCGATATGTTACAAAAGATAAGGTGGAGTGGACAGTGAAAAAGCAAACTCTCACTCTTTCATTATTCTGAACGAGCTAAAAAAGTCCCTGGCCCCACAAATATAAACATAGTGCAAGAGATGAGCATCGGGAAGGAAAACGTGTCAACATTTACTCATTAATTACAACGCACAGTTGTCATAAAAAGCCTAGCATCAAGACCATTTATTTCATGTAGGGCTGTGTAAAAGTTTTTTTTTATCCAATTTAATAAGATCCAACTCAAGAAAAACCTGACTCAATTTGATCTAAATAAAAATTGATCTCTCTATATCAAAAAAATCAAATTCTTTTTGGAGTTAGACTAAATAAGAAACCCACTATCTAGACTACTTAGTCTAGTCTAGTCATATAAATTTATTTAATATAATTATAATTAATTTTTTAATTATTATCACAATAAGTTAATTTATAATAATAATAGTAATTTTTTGTGTTGTATACTTGTAAATTCATGAATATTAAAAAAAATTTCAGCATTTACTAGCCTCACTCTTCTTCTTTAATGGTACTTTATTATTAACTTAGCGTAGGACTTTAAACCTGTTGAAAATTGTTTAATTTAAATCATTTGTGTTGTAACTAAAATACTTTTTATTGTTTTTGGAGATTGTTA